TAAATTCAGTTAATTTTAGTTAGTTTTGTGAACACTCATTATAGTTTTAGTTAGTTTTCCTTTTTTTGTTTTTATTTTTATTTCCGTTAACGAAAATGTTTTTTCACTTCTAGTTTTCGTTATTTCGTTAGTTTTCGTTAACGATAATAACCTTGGTTACTTATTCCACCATGGGTACTTTGCCTGCTGTGAACTGCATGCAGCCGTATTAGTTGTTGCTCTTTATACACAATATTTTTAGCAGGTTGACGTAGATTTTTGAGTATCTTAGTGGCTGTGCAAAGTTTTGGCTCTTTCGTTATTTCACGTCTCTGTGCTTTTTATTCTGTTTTAGATCCGAAGATAAAGCCCTGATGGTGGTAAAGGATCCCATCTTTGTCAGACCGTCTCCGCCCTGCCAGCCTTCTGTCAACAGGACCAAGTGCATTGAGTAAGTAACTTTATTTCATATACAGCTTACTGTCCATATGTTTCCCCTCATGCTAAAATGCAAAGACGCACTGTGTTAATTTGGCAGGCTGGCCCATGAGTTGAGGGGTTGGGTCCACCGTCACGAAGTTCAGCAGACCAAATCGAGACGAGAGAATAACAGCAACCACAAACCCACCAGGACGATTCTGGTCAGTCACAGCAGCGTGCTTTGCAAAACAGTAAAACACACGTAATGGTCCGTGCACAAATTTACGTGATATTTGCTGCTGGCAATACATATTGCAAACTAAACCTCATTTGGATTTCAAGCCATTCCACTTTAAAAGTCTCTTGGCAACCCAAAGCCTGTCTTTCACCACTGTTTCACCTCCAGTCACACCTACCCCCTTTTTCTGCCTCTCGTTTCTCTTTATTGGGCTGACTTTAATCCGGCAGCCCTGAGAAAGTAAACATAACACTTAGAGGGGAGCTATGGGATTAGTGCCCCCTGCTCCTTTTTTCCATATTTTTTCATTTTTTTTTTCAAAATCTGTCACAGCAGGTCCGGTCTACTGAAGCCGACCATCTGCCCACTTCGTATATACACACATTGTTCTTATCTGTATTAACAGAAAAGGTGGAGGTGTTTATTGCCTGCCTGTATTCAGCTGTTTTACCCTTTCGGCCTTTGGAGTTGAACAGTAAATCTGCTCACTCTGATGTAACATGTGCCTGTGGATCACCACCTGAGTCTTTATTTCTTCATGACAGCTGTAAAATTTCTGAACGAGATGTAATTTATCAGGAGAAATCCTTGACAGAAAACCTTGATTTTTATTTAGAAAAGCATTTGATTAATTTCTTCTTATGCTGTTTTTATAGTTTTATTGTTTTACATTGTTTTATTTACTGTTATATTGTTTTTATATTCCCATTTCCTGTGTTGTAAAGCACTTTGTGATTTTTATCTGTGAAAAGCGCTATATAAATAAATTTTACTTACTTACTTACACGTGTGTGTGGATCTCTAGGAGTTTTGAAAGGATAGTCTGCTTTTATGTATAACAATACTGTTTATTTTTACTGCTGTCTTTCATGGGCATTGATGTGGTTGCACAGATTATAGCTAATTGTCTGGTTTTTCCCTGACAGAAAACAGGAAATAAGGAGGACGAAGGTAGGCAGATTGTGACGGTTCAATACACAGAAACTACTGCGGAAAAGTAAGTAAAGGCCGGCTACAGAAAGTTTCAGGTGTTTGTATTTTGTTAATGAAGGTTGATTAGTTGATGCACCTGTAGACGTTATAACCTGCCATGTTTTGGTGTTTTAGTAGAATTTGACCAAAGCGTTGCTTTAAATAGAAACTGGAGCATTTTAGGCATTTGTCCCCTTTTTTTTATGTTTTACAGTTTTATAATATTCGATTTATGATGCAGTGATTTTTAAAGGATGACCCTTGCACACCGCTTTAGAAGTTTGGCGATGAACGAGAAACTTTTCTGCTGCACGGTTTCGATCACACAGATGGTGTCAATAGCTTTTTGGCGCTTTTAAATCTGGCTACAAAATATCTGAGTTCATAGGAAAATGAAAGAAAATCACTTTCAGAAGTTAACCTCTGTAAGGCCAGATGAAAAAAACATAACACCAAAAATAGGAGGAAGCACTCAATGCTGCAGTGAGACAGCGAAGTTGCAGTTTTTAGGCTTTACTTTGTGCTCCAGCAGCAAATTACTGGGCAAGTCTGTTATACTGAGGCACAGACCACTGTGATGGTTTAGTAGATGGTGTTTGA